TGTCTAGGCCAAACTCCATACTGATGTCAGTGCTGAAGATTCTGACTGCGTTGGTCAGTGACTCGATTTCTGTTTCTGCTTTCCATAAGGCTTTAGATCATCCATGTATAGTAGGTGGGAAATTTTTGGTGAATTTCTTGCTGTTTGGCAGCCTAAGTTTGTTTTTGTAGAATTACCGACAATGGGATCGTTGCAATGATGAACAGCAGTGGTGACAGTGAGTCGCCTTGGAAAATTCCTCTCTTGATGTTAACAGTTCCATAGCTTTCGTTGCCCACAAACAACTCAGTTTTCCATTGTTTCATTGCATTTTGAATGAACTTTCTAATATTTTCACAAACCCCAATGACATCTAGACATTTGATAATCCAACAATGTGGCAGTGAGTCAAATGCTTTTTTGTAATCAATCCAAGTTGTATAGAGGTTTGTTTTGCGTCTTTTGCAATTCTCCAGTATTATTATTATTATTATTATTATTATTATTATTATTGGGTGCCTTTTGGCAAGGTAAGACTGAAGACTGATGGCAGTTAAAGAGGTGTCAAACTGCACCAATTCTGTGGTGTAAATGTATTATTATGTTTATTTATATCTCATTTTTTCTCTCCATAAGACAACTCAAAGCTGCTAACATTAAAAGCATTACAATACAATGGGATGTACCTCAGATGGGAATCCATTCCTCTCTTTGGGCTTTAACCGCAAGGGACTGGGAGCACTATGCAAAGAAGGTTTGGGGCTGCTAATACACACACACCTAAACCTTGATAGCTTTTTCTATGCTGAGAGCTTGGCTTCGAAAACCATGCTTCTATGAATACAGGCTGAGATAGCATTTGCCTTGTTTGCTGCAGCATCACTCCACAAGCTCATGCTCATCTTATGGCAACAATCTCAATGTTCGTCAGACATACAGCACTGCTAACACAACTCTCTCCCATCCCATAGGGGAGTGACTGGTGTCTGTGGCTTCTTTTGCATTTGGAGCATCACTCTGGAGACAAGGGTTCGAATCCCAGCTCTAAAAACCCACTTGATGACCTTGGGAGAGTCACACTCTCTCACCCCCAGAAGGCTCATAGATAGGCTGACTTTAGGGTTGCTATAAGTTGGAAATGCCTTGAAGGCACACAACAACAACAACAACAACAAGGAATAACCCATTACCCCTTTCTTTCTCAATTGCAATTGCAAGTCAAATGGTTCCTGATGAGCCTTCACCAAAATGGACAGATGTGGCCTCATTGCAACCAGTTTCATCACAGAAATTGAAAAGAATGTGTTGCAAAGAATGGCTCTAAACCTCACTGCAAATCACCGTCTGGGTCAGAGAGCGTCTACACCAGTGTTTCTCAACCTTCCTAATGCCATGAACCCTTAATACAGTTCCTCATGTTGTCGTGACCCCCAAACACTTTTTTTTGCGTTGCTACTTCATAACTGGAATTTGCCTACTGTTATGAATCCTAACAGCGCTCCATGCGGTCATGCTGGCCACATGACCTTGGAGGTGTCTATGGACAACACTGGCTCTTCAGCTTAGAAATGGAGATGAGCACCACACCCCAGAGTCAGACATGACTGGACTTAATGTCAGGGGACAACCTTTATCTTTACCTTATGAATCATAATGTAAATATCTGATATGCAGGATGTATTTTGTACACTGGGCTAAATTAGGCACAAATACCCAATATGCCCAAATTTGAATACCAGTGGGTTTGGGGGGGGGGGGTTGATTTTGTCATTTGGGAGATGTAGTTGCTGGGATTTATAGTTCACCTACAATCAAAGAGCATTCTGAACCCCACCAACGATGGAACTGAACCAAACTTGGCACACAGAACCCCCATATCCAACAGAAAATATTGGAAGGTTTGATGGATATTGATCTTGAGTTTTGAGAGTTTAGTTCACCTACATCCAAAGAGTACTGTGGATTCAAATTATGATGGATCTGGACCAAACTTGGCACTAATACTCAATATGCCCAAATGCGAACACTGGTGGAGTTTGGGGAAATTAGACCTTGATATTTGGGAGTTATAGTTTCTGGGATTTATAGTTCAGCTGTGATCAAAAAGCCCCTTGAATCCCACCAATGATAGAATTGAGCCAAACTTCCCACACAGAACCCCCATGACCAAGAGAAAATACTATGTTTTCTGATGGTCTTTGGAGACCCCTCTGACACCCCCTTGCGACCCCTCCAGGGGTCCCAACCCCCAGGTTGAGAAACACTGGTCTACACTGTGGAATGACTGCAACCTGACACCACTTTAACCACCATAGCAGGTTGCTTGGGAGTCCCTGGAGCTGTATAAAGTCTTTCACTGCCAAAGAGTCCAATGCAAACTACTACTACACCTCCAAGGATTGCCTAGCATTGAGCCAAGGCAGTTCAAGGGGATCCCAAACTGCATTAATCCCACAGTGTAGATGCACCCAGCTCCCCTTAGGGCAATGATTGCTGTATCTCCATCAAAAGAGAGAGATCTTCTCTAGCACCAATTAACACAATTAACGCAAATCCCTTCATTCCACCCCTCCCTCCTTCTGATGGAGAGCCAAGCAGAACAACTTGCAACAAGGACCCTCTTTCATGGGGAGAACAAGGAAACTTTGCCTTTTAAAGATATATTTAATGGTTCCCCAACCTCTCTGCCAATTACAGCCAATTAATTAATTCACGCAAGCAGGTGTCTTTATCTGCATCCAGAGAGGAAGTCTAGTTTTGCATTCTGCTTTCCAGAGTAAAAGGAAGAGTGCATGACAGGAACGGTGCACTTCATACCACAGAGTGAATATCCCCAAATGTGGGAGATGCATTTCCTGTTCTGAAAATTTTGCCTATTGCATAATGAAGAAGTGACTCCATTCGACTTCCCTGATCCACAATGTCTTGCAGCACCAACATGTGACTCTGAATGCTGTGGCTCCCCATCATAACAGCCTTCTTTTATTTCCAGGAACAGCCAGAAATGCTCACGGTCAGTGCATTCAACCACTCTGAAGCAGGAATGCAACTTCTTGACACCACTTGAACTACAATATCTCCATGTTCGTGCATTCATCTCATAGTGTAGATGCACCCCAAAGAAGAAAGGGGTGCATCTACAGCCCAGCTTAAGCCCCCTCTAGATTATTATTCAATGCGTTCTCATTTGGCACCAGAGCAAAATAAAATTAGAAATTAGACATTTCTTTGCACAATACAACCCCTTTCCTCCCCATCTCTCGAAAACGTTTGGCAAGGGTCAGTATTACTAAAGGTCACCTGAGGAAAAGGCTGTTTATGTCTGTGTCTCAAAAAAGATCCCTCCAAAGCAACTCCCTCTTCCCAGAAACACTGATTTAGACATCTGTTGCCCATTGCTTCATATGAGTTGGGTAGGATCCCTCTACCTGGACCTCAGTTTAAGATTGCATCTATTCCAAGGAATCAAAGAAATTACTCTGCATTTCCCCTTCCCTTCCTTTCTTTTTAAAAACGTTTACTCTAGGTTCTCTTCTTCCTTCCTACCTCCTATCCCAATTTCCTTTCCTCCCCTTCCCTTCCCCTTCCTTCCTTTCCTTCCATCTTCCTTTCCCTTCCCTTCCCTCCCCTTTCTTTCCCTCCCTTTGCATTCTATTTCCTTCCTTCTTCCCCTTCCTTCCCTTCCATCTTCCTTTCCTTTCCCTCCCCTCCCCTTTCTTTCCCTTCCTTTGCATTCTAATCCCTTCCTTCTTCCCCTTCCTTCCCTTCCTTTCTCCTTTCTTTTCCTTCCCCTTCCTTCCTTCCCTTCCATCTTCCTTTCCCTTCCCTCCCTTTTCTTTCCCTTCCTTTGCATTCTATTCCCTTCCTTCTTCCCCTTCCTTCCCTTCCATCTTCCTTTCCCTCCCCTTTCTTTCCCTTCCTTTGCATTCTATTCCCTTCCTTCTTCCCCTTCCTTCCCTTCCTTTCTCCTTTCTTTTCTTCCCCTTCCTTCCTTCCTTCCTTCCTTCCCTTCCATCTTCCTTTCCTTCCCCTCCCCTTTCTTTCCCTTCCTTTTCCTCCTTCCTTCTTCCCCTTCCTTCTTCCCCTTCCTTCCCTTCCTTTCTCCTTTCTTTTCCCCCCCCTTCCTTCCCTTCTATCTTCCTTTCCCTCCCCTCCCCTTTCTTTCCCTTCCTCTGCATTCTATTCCCTTCCTTCTTCGCCTTCCTTCCCTTCCCCTTCCTTCCCTTCCATCTTCCTTTCCCCCCCCTCCCCTTTCTTTCCCTTCCTTTGCATTCTATTCCCTTCTTTCTTCCCCTTCCTTCCCTTCCCTTCCTTTCTCCTCTCTTTTCCTTCCCCTTCCTCCCTTCCCTCCCCTTCCTTTCCCTTCCTTCGCATACTATTCCCTTCCTTCTTCCCCCCTTCCTTCTTTCTCTTTTCCTTTCCTTTCCCTTCCCTCCTCCCTCCCTTCCTCCTTTCCTTCCCTGTCCTTGGACACTCTCTACTGTTCTTCCAGCTTTTTCCTTACACAGTGGTAAAGGCACCTGAAATCCACAGGGTGACATGAATTTCACCCAGATTTATTATCAAAGCAGATGAACTTTCAAAAAAAGAAACAAAATAGATCATAATGAATGCACCCACCGAAAAACCATGTGCTGAACCAGGCTAATTGCCCTAATTCTTGTTCTGAATTTACGAGAATGACAATCCCTGGCTGCAGGTGTTTGGAGAAGACAATTCATAAAAGGAGGTCAGTGTTCTGGGTTGGGGACAGAGGTGGGTTCTCTTTCATAAAATAGACAGACGGACAGACAGACAGACAGACAGAGATAGATAGATAGATAGATAGATAGATAGATAGATAGATAGATAGATATGAGAACCCACAGCAAGTGTGTCTCAAGATCAATCCCAAACTATGCCCAAGTTCACCTGAGAAGTGCAATACCTGTTTGCAGTAAGAGACAGAACATAATTTGCCGACTCAGGTGCATCATCACTTTTACATGCCTTGGAGTAATCCCAAAAGTAGCTTCCCTTACCTGTCCCAGGATGTCCCCCTCCTTTCCATCCTCCTGGAACCCTTCAGCCATGGCTTTGGGTCTTGTTTTGCTCCACTAAAGACCCAAGAAAGAAGCCTATGGAGTGTGGCTCTCTGTGCTCTGATGCTAGAGTCCTCTCTTAAAGGACCTGTGGAGGAGGAGGAAGAAGTGAATGTGGAAAGAGCATCCGCGCTGAGAAGGAGGAGGAGGAGGAAAAGGGAGGCTGAGGTCACCAGAGAGAGAGAGAGAGAAGTGGAGAAGCGCGGGATTGTGACAGACAGGGAGCCCTCTAATCCTGGTTCTGGCTGAGCAAGCAGAGAGAGATGCATATAAATAATAACAACACAGCCCTTATCTTCCAATGCAGGGCACCTTGGGGGCAAAGGGGGTTCCCCTGAAGGGCTATCTTGCTTCTGCATGTACGCATCTGGCACATGGGTTGCACTGCAACTTTTATATTCATTCCCAACAGGGTGACCCTGCTCATAGTTGTAGAGCGCAGAGCCATGAATGACGAGGCACAAGGCACATCTGCTTGCTGCATTTGGTTTAGAGCAGATGCGTCTGCATCACACATCTGTGCTGCTTTGGTGCCACTTTTACAGCCGTGGGTCTCATCCTATGCAATCCTCTGGAAATTTTCTGCCACCTGATTCCAACTGTGGAATAGACTAGAGAGGGAATGCTTTGTGCTCCCAGGAAACTACAAATCCCATGAATCCCTAGCATGGTCTAGTCCTGAAGTCTCCTAATTGTGTCGTGTGGATGCACCTGCAGATGGCCAATCAGATAAGGCCACTGTTCCAATGCTAAAGTGGTATAAAGGCACAGCAAGTGTGCAAATGTGGCCCTTGGATGAGGTTTCAGGGGCTCCATGTTACAGAGATGTCAAGAGATAGGACAATGGAGCCCAATGCTTGAGGTCTCCTTCTCTGGACATTGGGCTGGAGGTCAGAATGGGGATGGGCTGGATGGTCTTAAGGGGACCCTTTCCCACACTGGGGTTCTCCTGCTGGCCTTCCAGAGAGTGGCAGTTCTCTTGGATGACTCCAGGATATTTCCTATCTTTAAAATCGCACCGGTTTTTGAAAACCAAAAAGATAACCCTGGACCGCTTTCGCTTGGAGATGCTTCCCTGCACACCTGAGGACGGATCAAAAACCTCTAAGACAGTGTTTCTTAACCGTCCTAATGCCCACATCTTAATCCAGTTCCTCATGTTGTGGTGACCCCCAACCATGAAATTAATTTCGTTGCTACTTCATAACTGTAATTTTGCTACTGTTATGAATCATAATGTAAATATCTGATATACAGGATGTATTTTAATTTACTGGACCAAATTTGGCAGAAATACTCATTACTCCCAAATTTGAATACTGGTTGGGGAGGGGGGATTTTGTCATTTGGGAGTTATAGTTGGGATTTATAATTCACCTACAATCAAAGAGCATTCTGAACTCTACCAATGAAAGAATTGGGCCAAACTTCCCGCACAGAACCACCATAACCAACAGAAAATACTGGAAGGGTTAGGTGGGCATTGACCTTGAGTTTTAGAGTTGTAGTTCACCTACAACCAGACAGCACTGTGGACTCAAACAATGATGGATCTGGACCAAACTTGACACAGATACCCAAATGTGAACACTGGTGGAGTTTGGGGGAAATAGACCTTGACATTTGGGGGTTGCAGTTGCTGGGATTTATAGTTCATTGACAGTCAAAGAGCATTCTGAACTCCACCAATGAAAGAATTGGGCCAAACTTCTCACACAGAAACCCCACAACCAACAGAAAATATTGTGTTTTCTGATGGTCTTTGGCGACCTCTCTTGCACCCCTTTGAAACCTCCCCCCAGGGGTCCCGACCCCCAGGTTGAGAAACGCTGCTCTAAGACCAAACCTTCCAAGAAAATTCCACAACTTGCCCTAAGTTATACCCAACTTGAAGGCACCCAACAAAAGTACCATTTGGTTCGAGTGGGATTGTGCTGCGATCAATGTGAACAGAGGACACTATAGATGGACTGTAGTTGGAGCCCACTCTAACTTCCACAGCTTGGTGGAATGGCATGGTGGCATGGTGTCATTCGGTGAGGCTCAAGAACCAGACCAACATTAGGTTGGCAGAGAAGGCTTGCAAAACTAGTCAACTACAATTTTGTTAGAGCCAGAGTGGTTCCATAGTGGTGACAAACTGCATTCATACCACAGTGTAGACACACCTGCCGTGACCACATTGTGACCCATCTGATCCCATGCAGAAAGATCAACAGCACACCAGGGCTAATATTTGCCGTTCTCTTCACCTGCATTGTCCTGAACCAGAACTGAACAAAACAACTCTGGCTACACACTTTGAAGCCAAACTGGAACCTGGCCTGGAAATGAATGCAATGCAATGCAATGCTTTCATTTCCTTGTTCCGTAATCAGGGAAAGACACATTGCTTATTGCAAAACACAATCAAGCAACCAGTTATTCATGATGTTTGGAAAAACAATTAATGGAGAACTGGGTTGATTAATGGCTGTTCGCCAAAGCTACACACTGTAGATTTATTGCAGTTTGGCACCACTTTAGTTGCATGGTATCCACAGCTTGGATCTCACTATCTGTAGCCATTTTAAATTACTGTATTTCACATTCATTACATGAAGTTTTTATTTATTAATTAATGTTTCAGGATTTTTTTCTTTGTCAGTTTCCCATATTTTTCAAGCCCAATCCCAACGAATTGAGGGCTTTCTTTCATACACCTTTTGTGAGTGTTTGCAGCTTGAACCTAGAGTTGAACTGCATTAAATGATCAGTTTAGACAGGGCCATAGAAACAAATAGCAGAAATGCAATTTCTGATCAGATTAATTTACATTAAAAGGGGATAAAATTTGGTTGTGGGGGCAATACTGAAATGATGAAGTAAGGACGAGTTTATAATCTATATAAATAAAAATGTAATGTTCGTTTGTGGGATTAACAGAACTCGAAAACTACTGGATGAATTGCCACCAAATTTGGCCATAAGACACCTACTAACCCAAGGAGTGACCATCACTCAAAAAATTGGTTTTGTCATCTAGGAATAGTAGTTTCTGGGATTTATAGTTAACCTACAATCAAAGAGCATTCTGAGCTCCACCAACAATGGGATTGAACCAAATTTGGCACACAGAACTCCCATGACCATCAGAAAACTAGAAGGGTTTGGTGGGCATTGACCTTGAGTTTGGGAGTTGTAGTTCACCTACATCCAGAAAGCACTGCAGACTCAAACAATGATGAATCTGGACCAAACTTGGCACGAATATTCCATATGTCCAAATATGAATACAGATGGAGTTTGGGGAAAATAGACCTTGACATTTGGGTGTTGTAGTTACTGGGATGTATAGTTCACCTACAATCAAAGAGCATTCTGAACCACACAAACGAGAGAATTGGGCTAAACTTCCCACAGAGAACTCCCATGGCCAATGGAAATGCTGCCTTAAGGCCATCCAGTCCAACTCCCTTCACCAGGGCAAGAAAACATAATCAAAGCCCTCCTGACAAAGAGCCATCCAGCCAAAGATATCGATATATATTATTCACACATACACACAGATGTAGTGTCATAGATTTGAAAGGTACTCCTAAAAAAGGACAATGATATGTTGCATGTTCCAGACTAGGCAAACCACATCAACAATGACAAAGAAACAACAATACTGTTTACCTACAAGCATAAATAAATTACATATATTAGGAACCAACACTTTCTCATTACTTTATTTTCCAGATCACCAGACAGGGCCACAGCAATGTGTGGCAGGGGACGGCTAGTCTAGTTTATAAATTTGTATATATTGCAACATAGTCTCTTTGAGCCTCTTTTGAGATGAAATAAATATAATAATAAATAACAATTATTATTATTATTATTATTATTATTATTATTATTATTATTATTAATGGATAAATGATTTATATATGAGAATACCCAGCCAGGTTTAAGCATGAACTTATGTCCCGTGTTTTAATCTCTGTTCTGTATATTTTAATATGTATTTTATAGAAATATGTTTTAATATGTCTATTTTATAGAAAGACATTTTAAAAGGTGTGTTTATAGAGTCTTTACAATGTTAATGTGTTTTAACTATGCCGTAACCCACCTCGAGCCATGAGGAGAATTAGGAAGCTACTTGCCATGCTGATTGGTGGGGAAGGGCTGCCTCTTCCTAGAGCCTGGAGGAGAGGTGGATATGAAATAATAATAATTAGGAAGCTATTTGCTATGTTGATTGATGGGGGAAATGGTTGTTGTTGTTCTTAAATGAAAAGGAGGGCTTCCTCGAGCTGGGAGCAGAGGCGGGTAAGAAATAAAATTGTTATTTATTTATTTATTTATTTATTTATTTATTTATTTATTTATTATTTACTGTATTTGTATACCGCCTCTCTCAGCCTATCAGCAACTCAAGGCGGTTTCCAACAAAACAGTATACATAGTATCATAATACAATTTAAAACATTAAAATTACATAAATCACACAACAATAAAAACAATACCACTAGCGTCTCCTTATTGTCAAGCATTGTCCAGTTCCATCGTCAGTCATCCATTCCTATATCAGTTATCTGTATCCGTTACTCTGTGTTTGTGAACATTTGCTCAAACAGCCATGATTTGAGTTGCTTCCGAAATGTTAAGATTGAGGGAGCAGATCTAATCTCTCTGGGGAGGGCATTCCATAGTCGAGGGGCCACCGCTGAGAAGGCCCTGTCTCTCGTCCCCACCAAACGTACTTGGGACGAGGGTGGGGCCGAGAGCAGAGCCTCTCCGGACGATCTCAAAGTCCTAGATCAGTGGTTCTCAACGTTCCTCATCCTGTGAACCCTTAATACAATTCTGCATGTTGTGGTGACCCCCAACCATAAAATTATTTTTGTTGCTACTTCATAACTGTCATTTTGGTACTGTTATGGACCATAATGTAAATATCTGATATGCAGGATGTATTTTCATTCACTGGACCAAATTTGGCACAAATACCTGATATGCCCAAATACTGGTGGGGTTGGAGGTAGGTTGATTTTGTCATTTGAGAATTGTAGTTGCTGGGATTTAGAGTTCACCTGCAATCAAAGAGCATTCTGAACTCCACCAACAATGGAATTGGGCTAAACTTGGCACACAGAACTCCCATGACTAGCAGAAAATACTGGAGGGGTTTGGTGGGTATTGACCTTGAGTTTTGGAGTTGTAGTTCGCCTACATCCAGAGACCATTGTGGACTCAAACAATGATGGATCTGGACTAAACTTGGCACGAATACTCAAT